AACACACACATCTAACACACATTACTTACTGAACACCACTTGTTAACTAACTATTAACATTTAACATTACCTTTTCTGTAATAGCATAGCATCCTTTACAGATGCATAAAAGTAATAGAAGTTGACTATAAATTTAACATTTTAGTATAAAATTGAGCAAAAATTGTTGATTGATCTTACCTTGTAATTGTCCTTGACATCATTAGCTGAAAAGTCTATCTTCAATCCAATGTCTTCATCAATTTTATCAGATGTCTAAAAATAGGAACTCAAAAATTATATCATTAAAATGACTGGTTTAAACTTTAAATAGTTTTCTAATTCATTAAAAATGAGAAAAAAAAGTAAACACTAAACAATACCTTCTTAGAAGATTGATCCCTTTCTGTCATAAGTTTCTTTAGTTTTTCTTGATCATTGCTCTGCATAATAAAACACCAAAAAATACAGCAAAAACAGTTGACAAAATCGTGATTCTGATTATAAGTGAAGAAAAAAATTGTCAATCAAAAGAAAATGAAATTGGGCCCCACCTTGAGTTGTGAAAATCCTTCGATTGATTCTGCTGACAACAAGTTTACATCAAGAGGAAAGAAACAGTATGAGTGATACCATTTGGTGTTTTCAAACCCACGTGGGTCCCATATACTCAATCCCAATCTTAAAGATTTTGAATCGATCTTTTAAGTGCATTTCTTGCATGAAGATTTTCCTGACTTTGCATACTCTGCAACAATCTTGATACAAGTAGAGGAAGAATACATAAGGGTATGTTTGTAATTTATCTGTAATCCAATTGAATAGTATAACAGTATACCTTTTCATTTGTTGCATTCTTTTTCTCTTTGACACTTTCCTCATCTTCATCAGTATATAAATACAAAGCAGAATTACATGAATACAATCAGTTACTTAAAGATATGGAAAAGTGAAAAACATATCATGAATATTCATGGTATCTTTTCAAGTGTATGTCTCTACCTTTAGTTTCTTTAAATCCCTTTTGTCTGACTCAGCATCAACATCTCCTTCTCTCTGTTATATCATAATAGAAATTAGGTAAAAACATGCACTATCAACCATGGTAACCCTATATACTTATAACAAAACTATCACAAAAAGGAAATGAAACATTTGAGACAGAGCTTATTACATGTATTTCAATACAAGATCACATAAATTCTTTTTATTTTTATAATCTATAAGACATAGCATCCATATATAACACATAGATGCAACCATGAAGGAGGTAGAACATTCATTCTATAAGACATAGCAGCTTAGATGAGCAAATACCTTGGTAGAATTTCGATCCTCTTCACTCACCATCTGCTTCAACTTATCTTGATCACTGCCCTGAATGGTAGAAGCAAGAATATTCAGCTCAAAACCATACAAAACATAATGAGCTTGCACTTTGTCGGATAATGGAAGTTTATATCTGATAGTGTGGAAAAGACATTGCTCGTAAACACGAATGCTTTTCGTTTTATACATCAAAAAATTTGGGGGAGTAATAGAAAGCCAAACGAAGCATACGACCACCAATGTATGTCTCACTCTCTAAAAGGCACCCATTATGAAAGTTTTCTGCTTCAGATTTGTGCTTGTTTAGACATACCTCGAGCTGAGAGAAATATGTGAAAGCATTTGTAGAATTCCTTGCAGCAATATGATGAGTTGTAGAAGTCATCCGAACAGCAGCAGGATCATTGGGTGCAGGTGGGATAGGAGACCTAATTTTCCCGGAAGCAACTGGTGGAGGAGCAAGGCCTAGAGGCTTAGACTTAACCTTCTCGGGTGGAGGAGCAAGGTTGAGTGGCTTAATCTTTTCAGATAATCCTGCAGATGAAAGCATCCCAGCTCCACTTGCAGGTTTGTTTTTTACAGTGATTCGAATTGTTTCACCCTCCTAATATACGTAATGTTTCAGGTTAATACATGTCTAATGAGCTCAAATCCATTTCAATACTTCTAGGCATTAGATAATTTCAGCTACTAATCTGAAAATTTCGACTATATAATCTTATATGCATAGTCGGAAAACTGTAAGTGATGATACATACCTTCAATCTGTGATTTACAGCAGGATGGATATTGATATGACTCTAGTCGCTGGCTTCATCGGCATCCTTCTCAATCTCTCTCTTCACATACTTCTCATGATCCGACAACGCCACATTGAAATCAAACGCCTCGTTCCTCTCTGTAAACCCTAACCCAATAAACGCGTGTTTCCCCGTGCCATCCTCGATTTTCAAAGCCGGAGAGATCTTCGAGAATAAGAAATAAAAGCTCCAAACCCGGATCAAATTTACTTGTTGTTCCCCCAAATCGTTGATCGTGGTTGATCGTGGTGGCGGGATAGGGTTAGGGCTACTTGTGTGTGACGGAAAAGGTGGACTTCCAGGGCGTCGATTACATCTTTGGTGGAGACAGGTGGTGGTGCGCTGCTTGTGTGTGAAGAGATAAACCGGATGAGAATTGGTTTGATGGCGGCATTTGTGTGTTTAGGAGATTAGGGCAAGGTAATACAGTGTAATAAGTATATGATGTGGTTATATGCTTAATATTATTGTACATGAAGTAATACCTATTGTACTTCTTAATTTTCAAGAAATGGTCAATATGTTTAATAATATATATATATATATATATATATATATATATATATATATATATATAT